TTGAGGTTGAGAATTGACGGGAGGAGGATGGTGATGATGAAGAAGAAGGGAGAGTAATGTAGAGGTGATGGAGGGGAAGGAGATATGGGAGAAGAGGAGAGGACGAGAAGGGTTCAGAGATCACATTTGTGGGAGGAGGTAGACCGGAGGGCCGTAACCGTGGCGGCATTGTCTGATTATATGTGAAGGGGCGTACGACCTGCGAACGTCGGAGATTGATGTCGTCGACGTCGAGGGATTCGAACGTGAAGAAGAGTCGGATGGTTTGGATTGGAGGTTGTGGGTTTTGAATGCAAAATTTGAGCGAGCTGGGATGTTGTAGCCAATCATGGCGTTTTGTGTTGCAGGCGACGTCCGGGGTCCATGCACGCAACACAGAGATTTGGTTGGTTCTTCAAAACACGCTTGGCTCAGGTTATCTCATGGTCTCAACCCACGACTATAACTTTTGATTGGTATGGCATTTGTATGGGAGCGAGGGCAGAGAAGCTTACAGTGCTTGGTCAAATCGAAGATTCTCTCAGGTATATCCAATACAAACTAGCTTTTAATTCGCTGGCCAGAATCGCCTCTGCATCGCTGTGCAGCCGTGACCATCTAGCATCTAGTGAAATAGTCAATCCTAACCGATCAAATCAGTCAATTTCCAATCAATTCGTCATGGTAAATTCCAAAACTCCTGCTACCAAACGGATGGAAGCTCGGCCATATAGCTATATACACAAGATCCAGCTCCGTCAAAATTGTGGCTATGGACTCGAGCTCGCATTGCACCGAGAGCAGAGGTAGCTACTGCGCACTCTCATTAGGCGTGCTGCATGTATGCAGCCTCCTCAATGTCAACCTCCAGCTCGCAAAACGCTAGAGCCGCAGAGGGTAGTGACAGCCCAGCGACGGCTCTGCGATGCGGGCTAGAACCGATCGTGCATTAAAATTCATGCAGGTGACCGGGATCCATGCGTAGTACGAAAAGTTAGCTCAACGGCCAAAAGGTCGCTCAAATGTTTCGACATATGTCATGTTTCCTAAATCGAATAACAGTCAGATGTTATATTTCGGGGCTGAAAGGAATTACAGGAATCCGTTTCCATTCGGAGAAAACATCTCGGTGACGTTTGGCATGTAATCGATCGAGACATTTAATAACAATTGACTCAATAGAAAACTGCTAGAGTCCGGATTTGTTTCCTCTAGTCTGAAAAGTAAAAATAAATGTATTGGATTCCTTGTGAATCGCTACTGTTTTGTCGACGCGGTTTTCGCCGAATAACGTTCGAATATTCCATCGATGTCGACGTTTCAAACTAGAACGAGAGTAAACATATCGAGGGAAATGAAATATAATGTGATGCACTCTAGTGCCGGCATGCTAATCTAGAGCTGTAATGGAAAAGACATATCGTTTCGGTAAACTAATTTCATCGATGTGGTTCGCCTGCCTGGTTTGAAGGCCGAACAGTGAAACGTGATAAAGCATGCCTTTGTGATTATATATTGCATTATCGATCAGTGATGCCGCCGATTATCAGACTCGAGCAGCTTCAATGTTTAAGAAGCTGTATTCATTGTATTTTCGGGGCATCCTAGATTATATAATTTAAAAGGCTGGGGAGAGTTTGTTTCGCGGTCCGTCTCATGCTAGCCAGTCGTTTGAGAAACTAACCACAGACAAATGGAGCCAACACTGAGCTCTAGTTTCAGAACATAGAATAGCTAGAGCTAGGATTAGATCTAATATCAAATTAACTGAGAGCTAGGACGCTGATACAGTCCATGCCGTTTAAATTCGATATATTCTAGCAAATTTCGAGATCTCTAAACGTTGTATCCTATAGGAACACCGCGTAGCTACGCAGGAGTCTAGTACTTCGATCCTCACGATGAAGTAAATATCATCCACACTCATATTAAAATTGCTGCAGAAAAACATCCAAATTTTAAGTGTATTCGCTAGCTGCAGGTGTAGACTAAGTGCATTCATCACCCGGAGCTATACATGCATATTAAAAATCCCCAACCAACTGCATTTTACACTTCTAAGCGTTAGGACTTTTCTTTCTTGTAAATGTAACACTGTAGACATGGGCCTTCACTTCAAAGTAGCGGGATTTACCAGTTTCGAATACAAAGATGTTATGTGCAGCCGTGCTCAAGATAGAAGTGGGGGCCGACCATAACGGTCTGGCGGACTCAGAGTGGTCGGATCCTCGCTCTGCAGTTGGGACATATATCGGCTACTGCACGCGAAGGGCAACGCCAACCTTTCGTTTAGCATTTAGCGGCCACGCTCCCAAAAACTAGCTCCTCATGTCATGACAAAAAGTTGCAAGGTAACCGTAATTGTATTAAAGGATTTATCGTCCGTCGATGTCTAGTATTGGGGGAAAAACAAAAACGGCGTTAGAATCAGATGTTTAGAAACTAGTCACACCCTCCGTCCATTCGTTCCCCGCGCTGCTATACTAGTAACTGAGACCTAAGGTCTTGTCAGATGTGATCTGTCGATTCTGCTTAATGTAAACGAACGAATGCGTGTATGCACCCACCGGCCACCACATTCGTATAATATAGCTTGGGAGTTTCCCTCTTTTTTTATTTTTCCTCTCTTTTCTCTCAATCGTCGACACATTGGTCCTCGACTTGCTAGCTGTCCATTGGTTCTCTCTTTAGCTTCGATGCATGGCATTTTGACACTGAGTGGGGGAGCCAGCTGCCGCTTTCGATATTCGTAAATTGTGCGGCAAAACGACTCTGCTTCCGGCTACCAACGCGGCATTTCCAACATTCCTCAGCCCGCCGTTTTTACATTTTAAAATTGAAATAGAAGGCTTCTTCCAGCTGAATTAAATTACAAAAAATATTGGTTGAGGATATATCGATAAGCAGCTGCGACGGAGACGAGAGGGGGACCCGGTAGAACCGTGGCATTCTACATTTTTCTTTCTTTCCCTAAAATACATTCCTTTCCGTTCTTTTCATTTTATAACTATTTTCATTCTTTGGAATTTTGGGACCTGCTTTTTAACCTTGATAGGATATACGTACGATGGGGTTTGAGGAGTGGCCTCTTGCCAGCAAATACGCGTAAGTTTAATAATTGTACTTGATTGATATCATGATAATTCGTCTTGCTAATAAACCGTAGACTTATAGGCGGTATTGCCGTGGGATGCACCATTCTTTTAATCCTCGGACGATATTTCTGGTCTAGAAGAAGGTAAGCAAACATCATCCAAGTCTCTAAAATTGAAAATATACCAAGATCAATGGCTAATATACTTTCATATCACATAGGCAAGCGCAGAAGGCCAAACAGGTACAACTTGTGTTCAATCCAGCCCAACAAAGCACGAGTGAAATACTAACCTCATATCGAATATAGCGTGTGGTAAATAGAAGTATCGAAGAACCCATAAATGAAAAACAAACCTACGGAAACTACCCACCGCGAATCGCAACCTTCGCTATAAGCGGCCCCCTCGTCGACGAAGACCATAAAGAAGAGTACGCCCGAACCGCAAGCCTGCTCCCCGCCAAACCACCAGCCTCTCAAGCCCACCCCTCGGAAATCACAAAAAGACCCCATCCTTCAGAACTCCGCCAACGACAGGAGTCAAGGTACAGCGAACTAAGCGTCGTCCCAACAGAATTCCATCTCGCTCTGAGATCCCCAGCGCTCAAGTCCCCTCTCTCTTTGGAATCACCGATAATCCACTCACCCCAGCCACGCTCACCGGGACTACAAGCCTCGTTTTCGTATATTGACCTAGACGACGATGCAGGAGTTTCTAAGCCGGAACTCGCGAAACTTAAAAACGATCCAAAAAGAGCTCCTAGCCGGAGCCCTATCGATAGTCCCATTGAAAGTCCTGTAACAGGAGAAGGAGACCTTACAATCCGTGTGCCCAGACTCTATGAGCCTCCTAGTCTAGCATACGGTGCCGCAGAAGTACCATACTCTCCACCAAAGCGAGTATTCCCGAAATCGAAGAAACACTATGAACCAGCCGTCTCCTTACAACGAAAGCGACAATCGGGCGATGCAGCCGCATTAATCCGTAATAAATCCAACCAAAGCAATGCGAGTTCCGCGCGTAAGAGTCGCCATCGGGGTGCTAGAATCTCTGGGTCTAGTGCTGGCGATTGGGTTGATACTCTCACCATGGTTGATGACCAGGAGAGTGCGCCACCATCAGCGATATCGAGCACGGCTGATATGATCATGCCGGTTCAAACCGAGTCACCAGCTGCCACATCTGCATACCGTAAATTTATACCTCACCAGAGTCGTGAATCTTTGATGGTTCCGTCGTCAAGAAATTCTCGAGGTGGCGGTAGTATCAAGAGGACAAAGTCGCAGAAGAAGGCGGCGAAGGCACAGGCTAAAGCTGCTAAATCTGGTGGACATCTCGCTAGAAATAACGCTCTTATTGCGGATGAGTTGGCAGCGATCAAGAATACAGCGAAGAGAGCGAGGAGCAAGTCGCCGTTCAAGAATCTGTCGATAGGTGGTAGTAGTAAAAAGACAGAGGGGGAATAAATCAAAGGGCTGCCTTGGAAGATGAGCGACTAAAATCAGTTACTTAAAATGAAAAGAACAAAAAAAGGATAAACTGTCGCGATTGTGGAATCTGGGTGGGCCATAATGAACTTGGTCTAGATATGCAAGGATTCTTTGGTTCGCGATTTTTAATTATATAATTGATATATGAGCATATGTATAGAGCACTAGAGTCCATATACAGTCATACAATTCAATCATATCTGGAGTTTGGAACGATTTGTAGTTACTGGCTTTTTATATACATCAACCGCTCTCAAGGTTCAGTATTTTAACTTCTTATAACATTTTCAAGTTCCCATTTTTCTAAAACGCATGCACCTGAATGAATACCCACACCCTAGAAAGCATGAAGCCGATCAAAATTATCCACATCTACAAAAAAGAGATATTTCTGCAAGGAACGGACAAAAACTTGCAAAAAGAATGGTTTGATCGATGCGTCTGCCGGGAATCGAACCCGGGGCTCATCGAGATAGCTAGCGTTCAACCTTCGGTTATGCTTGGCAACGATGAATTTTACCACTAAACCACAAACGCTTATTGTTGAAACTCGGAGTTCAATTGTAAATTATAGACTATTGTTAGAAATAGTAGACTACGGCGAGAGGTATGGATCCGTGATTGGGTTCGTTGTTGCCTTAGACATGGGGTATATTCTTGGTGCACGGAAATGGTATTTAGGGGTCCAAATAGAGAATAGAGAATATAGACGGTACCTTCTTCCTTTTAATTGAAATATACACAATGCCTTGGATGTTATGCCTTAGGATGCATAGGTAGCAGGAACTTGAATATGGTTCTTCTTGTGTGATAAAGATTGTGAGCAGATGGTATCTCGGATATCGTGTTGCGTTTGTCGCCTTTTCAAAAATCCAACAGCTGTTCGCAACGCGTACTCATCGTCAAACATCTTCATACCAAAAGTCACCAGATTGCTACCAAAACTTCCTGACTATTCTCAGACTCAGGCCCATGATACCAGAAAGACAAGAGCACGCTCCCGTTTATAGCCCTTCGACGTAAGATGAAATGATGTATCCAAGTCTGATTATTGGCCCGATGAAGCCATTAAGAGTCAAAAAATTGTGCAAAAAATAAAAAAAAAAACTGGAAGCTACTCTTTGTTGAAGCGTGTCATCCTTAGTGCAGGGGCCATGCTAATCTTCTCTGTATCGCTATTTGTGAAGGAATGTTAGCCATCAGGTTCGAACTTCATGAGCTGGTGGAATACGGTATCTTACTTTCAAATTGACCATGTGACCCGAAGGTCAAATATTCCAAGTGATTTTGCGGTATAAGAGGGTGGCGACGCTTTCCGGTTGAGGCAATGACATAGCGTGACTTCACGAAACCCTCGCGGCGTCACCCCCTTATTCTGGTTATTGGTTCAACAAGAGATAACAAAAAGCAAATTCAAAATTTGCGAAAAAGGACTCGCGTAACAATCACACAGGTCGCGTGTGGTGATGGTAATATATTTTTAATATTTTGGATATATAAATCGTTGATTCATGATGATGATTGAGACCTGCTTGCACGCGCCGGTGAGCAAAAGCGGGCCTATTGCAGAGCTACTGTGATTTCTTATCCGACGAACTCTTCGTCCTGGCTTCATTGAACATAGGTATGCTATGGGAGACTCTGGTATCCTCTATTCTGAAACTATACGGTGTGCATTTTATTAAGCTATATTATTGCATCAATTATTGCATTTATCATTCGCAAAATGTCAAAATTAATTCAACTATCCGAACAAGTATATTTGCATTACATTCCTCATATCTAGAATAGCAATCGATGCAATCTGAAGTATACCACCTTCAATTGTTGACTCTCGTGCATTAAGAACAAGGATCGCCGAATCATCCAAGATATCCATTATAGACAATTAAATTTGGAGAACCCTCAGCCGTGTTAAACGGCTCCGTTAATCCTAACACCGGCTCATCATCAATCGCGATCTCCCTGCCTTTGATCTGACCCTTCACCGCTTGCGCCGTGATATTATGCGCAACATCATTCGGAGCAAGCGTTCCACCGGGCGCATTACTGATAACGTACGCCGCCAACCCAGCAACATGCGGACACGCCATGGACGTCCCATCTTCAACTCTCGTAGAAGTAGGTCCTGTGATCCACGCGCTTTTAACTCCCACCCCTGGCGCGAACACATCCAGCACGCTCCCATAATTCGAAAAATAAGCCATAAGATTCTTGTTATTCACTGCGCCGACAGTGATAGCGTCGGTAACGGAAGCGGGTGATATAGTTCCCGCCGGCTTGGCTTTATTCCCTGCGGCAGCTACAACAGTGATACCTTTGTCTATAACTGCCTGGGTAGCGGCATTCACAGCAGCTGAATGGGGACCGCCGAGGGACATGTTTACGACTGATTTGTTTGGGGTGGCATTGTCTGTGATCCAGTTTAGCGCAGCGATAAAGCCGGAGTATTCGCCCTGGCCATGGGCGTTGAGGACCTTGACGGCGACGAGATTTACTTTTTTGGCGACACCGTAGGTTTTTCCACCGACGGTGCCGGCGCAGTGGGTTCCGTGGCCGAACTTGTCGGTGTCGTCGTTGTCTATAAAATTTGCACCCCAAGTCGCTCGGCCTTCGAATTCCTACACCCACATGTATGCCCCGTTAGCTACTATCATTTGGATGAGGTATCTTTGAGAGTGGGTGTTTACACTGTGCTCTAGATATATCCCAGAATCGACAACGTATACCGTCACCCCACTCCCATCAGGGTTATCATTATAAGAATAATTGTGATGTCCGGCACCTTGATTTGTAAAATGTCGGTGGGAGATACGATCGAGACCCCAAGTGGCATTAGTCTGTGTAAAACTAGCCTGCATCGTGACATCCTGCTCGACAGAACTAATCAATGGAGATGTGAGGACGATTTGGAGAACGGCTCCGGGAAGACCGGCAGTATAGCCTGCCAAACCGTTCGCGAATCGAAATTTGTGTCCGATGCCGGCGGCTTGAGCACCTGTCAGTGTATCAGCTATTTCGCTGTGAGCGGCGGAAATGGCATCCATGTGAGCTGTGGCGTCGGCTTCGGAGACGGTGGGTTTGAAGATTATTAAGAATTTGTCTTGAATGATGCCCTCGACGTCCGTATTGAGGACTTGGAGGACGGTTGAGATTACTGCGGCATTGGTGATTGCGACCAAGCCTGCGAGGAGGATGAAGAGAACGGATTTTAGATTGAGCATTGTGGCAATCCAATGAACTAGCTTTTGGCGTGAATAGCGCAATATAAAATATCTAGTATGGCATTAAAAGTAGGGCTATAGAAGCGAACAATCCTCGAGCTACTCAGCTAGCTTGCTCAAAAGTAAGAAAACGAGAGTCCAAAAGCACATATGCACGACCTCAGCTAAGTATAAATAACCCCCGGTAACTGTGAATAAACTCGGGGATCCTGGAGAATGGCAAATGGCAGATGTGCGTGTTGGTCACAGTTGAGATGAAAAATCCCGTTTGGAATCGAGATTTTGCTTTCCAGGAACCTGCCATCCCATATCGAGAAAGAATCTCCTAGTCTGATCGGCTCTTTCACATCTCTATCTAGTATCACTAGAGTGCATACATCACCCTACTAACCAAATATTGACGTTGAGACACGCATGGTGCATGGAATCTCAAGCGAGATAGTATTGGCCAAATCGAATGTTGGAGTTGCTGATGTTGCTGAAGTGGATGATATCATCATTTTGTTCGAAATCTTCGTTGATGACTGGGGAGGTCGATTGCAGTAAACATAATCCGTTGGACTCAATGATGAATGGACTGATCGATCTCTATGGTTGCAAAAGTCCAATAGACCCTATTCATATGGTGCATTGCATTTAGCATGCAAATCGGTACCTGCTGATCAAATATAGGAGATGCATATTATAATACCAATATCGACAGATCCGATCTAGAAGCGAACAACAAGCTTCCCCAAGATCTCCAACACAAAGCCCCCAGGATAAAGGGACAGCCTCACCAGCAAGTTCTTCACAAAATAAGCCTTAAAAGCAGGCTTCAAATGAGCTGAGCTGAGATGAGCTGGACTTCACTCCGTCCGATGTTGGACGACTGTGATTGAACCAGTCCGTTTTGCCGAGCCGCGGGCTGAGTTCTGGGCGTCCGGGAGGGAAACGATCTTCGGATCTCAAGATCTGGTTGATTAGCGATCCGCTAAGAAAAGGGGCCACTTGAGCCTCTTTGGGTTAGATGCCCTCAAAGGTCACAGAAGTTTTGTAAGGTTAGGCTCGTTCCGGTGATGTTGTGGGAGATTTTTCTTGTTATTTTTCCGAGTTTTCCCTCATTTGCTGCATGTTGTGTCCACATGGGGTTGGATTGTTGGGATGCATCATACCGATGGCACATGGACACAAAACTCTCTACCGTTTAGGCTTTTGGCATGCTTGGAATTTTAGGAATGCAAGTTTGACAGAGTCGTTGCGTATCTGTCCAATGAATGTGCGGGTTTCCAATCGATAACCTTTCAGCAGTGAATGCGGTGCGGAAGGGGCTTGAGGTGGCTTGTAAGAGGGAAGCTTGGTTCGGTTGACGCATGTTGTCGTCATAATTGTCGAGAGCTTGTTGATTAGCTCACTCCAACCGATGCGAATGCAAACAAACATCTAACTAAAAGTTAGCTTTCTCTTAGTTTCGGTCCCTCGATGCAAGACTCGACTCTCTTCTACCTGATCACAATTCATACCATTGGTACTTAGTCTTTCGCCATATTGCGCCTCACGATGCCTTCGTCACTCTCAGATACCGAGAGTCTCCCGTTGCTCATGAACCGTGGAAGGGATGCCATCCACCGTGTCACCTCAGTCTGGGCTGGATTCCGAGGTATCATAGCGTTTTCCTCTCAAATTGCATCAACCGCCCATCTTTGATATCTCGCTGACCTCTGCGACTAACTCGAGCGCATAGATTTCGCACTCCGTGACAATGTCCTCGAAGTCGCGATCGGTCTCATGTAAGCTGTTCCTCCACTTCCTCTCTTCCTCTCGCTCCCCGTAGCATGGTGCGGCGACCGCTAGTCATTGCGTCGCGATCGATCGTATCCCCATTGCATCGCATCGCTCGGTTGAACCTTGTAACCCTGTGTGACGCCACAAACAGCTAACCAACAACCCAAAAAGTGTTGCGTCGGCCTTCACATCCGTCGTCAACTCCCTCGTCGCAGACATCATCCTCCCGCCAATCTCACTAATGTGGGACCAAAGCCTCGGTGAAAACTTTATAATCCTAAAGCAAGGCCACAATGCTACCGCGCATTACAACACTTTCAAACAAGCTCAGGATGATGGCGCGATTACTTGGAATTACGGGTATGATATAACTACCTCAGGAATACATTGTTATTGACGAAGAACAAGAATAGATGCTGATATTAGTGGCATATCGATATAGTAATTTTTTGGAAAAACTGATCCAATTCGCACTACTCGGAATAACGCTCTACTCCATCGCGAAATTCTACTCGTTGTTTTCGAGCGAGGCGATTATAAAATATCAGT